ACACTCAGATAAACAGTAACTGATACCTGATGCATCAGGGAGAGTCTCTAATGGTCCCTTTGGGCTCTGAGAGCAGGCCCACTGTCTGAGACTGGAACAGAACCAGAACCGCCATGTTTCTGATGTAAAAGAGCCTCTCAGACCTCCTCCCAGCTCCTGACCTTTATTTTTGGCCCTTTGGCCTGTTGTTCCTTTACATCAGCAGCTCATTAATCCCCTTTTTATCTAATTTTCTTACCTTCTTTGTTATTGTAATACTGCTCTCTGCCACCAGGGGGCCTGACCTCTGACCTGTGGTGACCTCTGTCAGTCTGAGGTAACCAGAGGGTTTTTTTATTGTTATTTATGATACGAGGCAACTGTTGCACATTAGAAATAAGGAGAATCAGAGAGAGGAACAAAGTGACCAATCAGAGGCCTGATCCAAGACATGTGACGACATCATGATCTCTGTGTCCAAGATGTTTTCTGACCTGGATTTTCAAGTATTTCCCCCCAAAACGACGTGTTTAATGTAAGTAAATGCTGATAAGTCCTCCTACATAGATCCAGAACAGCTGAAATGACTCCATCACAGAGTTGTTAAAGGGCTTTTCCACCTTTATTATGACCAGTAGACATTTAATAAAGAGGCTGAGACGCTTATTCACAGTAAAGTGAAGCTCACAGGCAGAAATAAGAGTTTTATTCACTCTGCTAAGCCTCTGCTCCCAAAGAACTGAGCTGATGATGGGGGTTTCTCCTCAGGTGAGTCAACTCTTTACCTGAAACTGTGGTAATCCAGTTATTATCAGGCAGAGAGCCTGGTTTGGGTTTTACTGCAAATAAACAATAAAGAATAACATTTCTGTTTTGTGTTTTGTTCTGGTTTCACACAGGTGAGAAATGTGACCAAACCAGTTTATTTATCAGGCCTGAACATGTAGTTTCAGCAGTTTGTGGGGAAAGATTCTAGTTTATTTAAGATGTTTGTTGTTTATTGACAGGCTTTATGATCATAGAAGAAGAGTTTTGTTTACAGAATCTATTTGGGTATTTATCATTTTAAAAATTCTGTAATGTTGTGGATGAAACCATGGAAACGGTTCTGGAAACAGAGCTCCTGTCATCGGTGTGTGTTCAGACTTTGCTCTGTGGGGCTTTGGCTCCCTCTAGTGTCAGACTCCCAGTTTACACCTCCATCAGTTCAGATTTTCTGGGTTTGTCAGTGTTTGTTTACAGTCTGTTCACAGCTCATCAGCTCCTTTTAAGGTGCATTAAATCCTGAATTCTGTCTTAGTGATGGCTTTCTGATGGTTCTGTCCACATCTTGAACACAGGCCTATTTAAGTCACAGCAAATGGAGACAGAGTAAAGTTTTGAGGCTCTGGATGAGGTCAGATGCTGTTATTAACCCATTATTATCATTAAAAATAGACCCACCCCCCACTTACATATGCAGATGAGCAACCCGACATGGAAACATACTGAGTTCTGTAAATGTCCCCGTATTGCGAAACGTCCTCACCGGCCGTGTGTTGTGCTTCCCATATTCCTAGATCCTCTGATTAATTTTTAAAATATTAAAAAAATGTTATACCAGGTATGAGACAGATGTGTAAATGATAGAAACATGATAACACGTGTTTGCTGTCTGTTACTTTTTGGTGAGATCAGATAGCTCCTGTCCTGGTTTCTGGATGGAGAACAGATGAGGACCAAGAGGCAGACCCAGTCTTTACAGGTTTATTTCAGCTTTAAACACAAAAATGTCACATGATTAAAAAACAAGAACATAGAAAATATAAAAAATCTAGCAAATCCAGGACTGAAAAAGGCCCCAAACAGAAAAGAAAGTTGGGCGTAGCCGGTCCAGATGGAGGGAAAAGCCCAAACAGAAAAAATTATGTCACAGCAGGAGCAGAAACATTTAAAGGTTTCAGTCCAAAGTCT